GCGCCGAGATTGTGGGAGCGAGAGGGTCCCTTCTATCACCCATGGGGGGCGTTGAGTATTCCTTAAGGAACAACTCAGTAAGCTTTTTATCGTGAAGGTTTCTTACGGGTAATTCTGGCACACCTATGTTCACTGTATGTTTACATTTTCCTTACGGGGTTCCCCATTGAGTAAAAAGTGTATATAAGCACAGCACCGGCGCAAGTCAGCACATGGATCTATCAGACGTTAGCGCTATGCTCGACCAAGCCGAATCGACATCGTCTCCGACTAATGCTGGTATTATGGCGGCCCTAGAGCACGTGGTTGGGCGGCTGCACAGTATTGAGGCAGCCGTCAACGAGCTGTTAAGCGGTCTGAGCTGCGGTCGTCCCGTACTTTCTGCCCTGTGGCAGACAACAGCGACGGTCACAATACGTCGCGGTGCAGCCGCTTCGCCGATCCGGTTGCTAAAAGCATGCAGGTGGTGAGGCTCGGCCTTTGTGATCGTTGCCTCAAACCTGCACATGAAGACTACGGTTGTTGGTGCAGTGCGCAGGGTGTAGGAGACCACACAATGTGCTGCTGTGCATCAACCGAGGACAAGGCGGCGGCTTCAAACGACGGCGACCATGAGGACGATGGGTAACGCGCTGACACTTCGGAGGAAGAAAAAATAATTTGGATTTGATATATAAATAAATTTTAATTGTTGTAGCCGGCGGGAGTGTTCTGGCATAGGCCGGAACCCGCTGTCACACCCGCTCCTTGGGGGCAGGGCTTAGGAGGGACTCTCTTGTATACCACCCGCAGCCAGGGTGTTTGCGTTTGTTTCGAATAAATCTATCACTGAACCACTTAATTGTTCGTTTATTTAGAGAGGCTAACGCGATAGGCAACGTGTTTTTTGAGACCAGATGATTAGAGTTAAAAGATACAATTTATTGTGAAAAGGGTGCGTCAAAAGTTTGAAAACTTCACAACGACAGGGGAAATTGATCATGGTAACGTGAATTTACAAACAAAATTTCAATACTTCGTTGGATACCCAAGGGATCGACTACTGCTTTGCATCTTCTTGGCATTGAACCGATTAAAGCTTCAACTTCGGACTGTGGTATCGGAGCCCACTCTCTGCGCAATAGATTAAATTTTTCGTCGGCATTCCAAACAGGAACCTGGCTAGTACGACATGCTAGTTTTTCCCAAAAGTGCTCTATAGGATTAGGTCTGGGCTCTGACTCGACCACTCCATAACGTTGATTTCCTTTGACTGGAGGAAGTCGGCCACGATGTATGCATTGGGTCATTATCGTGTTGAAAAATCCACCGGCAGGTTTTGGTTGGCGAACGAGAGCATTACATTCTCCAAGGTGTCCTTGTACTGAGCCGAGTTCATATTACCCTGGATACGAACGAGTGAACCATTGTCGGATAGACTGAAACATCCCCATAGCATAACGCTTCCTCCACCATGTTTGACCGTCGGGATTTGTTCTTCGGATCACATCGCTTATTCACGGGACCTCTTATATATTATACATTATGTCATCACTCCCAAAAATACAAAACTTCGACTCGTCGCTGAACAAAACTTTGTTCCAGTCATCTCTATTCCAGGCGAGGTGTTTGTGCGCGAAGTCAAGTCGGGCCTTCAGGTTCTTTGCGGTGACCAGTGGTTTTTTGCTAGGACGTCTTCTAATGAGTCCTCCGGCTCTGAGCCGACGTTGGACAGTGCTTTGGCTGATAGAAATCCCAGAAAAGATGTTACTTGTTTGCGAAGATCCGAAGCCGTCGCGCGCGGATCGCCCTTTGAGGTCCTAAGAATTAGAGAGTCGACTCTTGGTGTTGTCTTTCGTAATATTTCGTAGCGAGACTTCCTCATCACAAATCCTCGGGATCGATAACGCTTGAAAACCTTGGAAATTGTGCTTTTAGAGATTATATTGTTGGGAAAGCACACTAATTTTCGTTCCGGAACGAATGGCTTCAATAATTGCTTCCTGGACGGATACTGGAACTTCTTCACCTGATCCCATCTGAAAACCACCCAATCTACCATGATTTGATTAAACATCACGAAAAATCCACCAACCCGGACAAGAAGAAGCCAAACTGATACGGCAGGTAGCGACTTTCCAAAACTTTGACGCGCTGCTCTTCGAACTTTTCTTATTTCAGAAATCAGACTTTTGATTTTCGTAAAACCAAATTGCATGCCATATTTCCCACAAGATTCTATGTCTCATGTAACTTTGGGATAATTACGATCTCAACTGGCCGCGCTATTCGAGAACTTAAAAAGTTTCCAAACTTTTGACCACTACTGTATGTTGCTTGGCGCGGCCCTTCGCAGCCACTTTGCCATTGGGGCGCATGGGCTTCAATTACCACCCGTACAACGCAGTTGCTGCGTCAACCAACTCGTCCAAATTAGTCAGCCTCTCGATTTGCGATCTGCTATCGAACTAATTAGAGTTTTTTCGCGCATAGGTGGGAAGTCTTCACTTCCTAATCAGGGTCGCTTCCCACGATCCTGATTAGGGAGTGAAGACTCACGCGTCATCAAACTTTTCATTCATCCTTATTAATCGATAAGTGAGGAATAAAATATATATTGAAGAGTTTCAGGAGTTATCAGTTCCATCCATTTATGCAAACTATATCAGTAATAAACATACTGGAAATCACATCAATATTTCAAACTCATTCACACTCATAGCACATAACTCAAAAAATCTTGAGGGGTCAATTATCACTGCATGGTGGGATTCGGATATGCTGGCTTCCCGAACTTTTCCATGTCAAACGCCAAACATCTTGAGTTTTCTTCCTCTATTTTGTACTCAGCATTTCTTGCTGTTTCCATATTCTTGTGAAGCTATCCATCCATCTCTAGCCAGAAGTTGGGTAGTGATAGAATCCGAAACGACTTTGGTTCCATTTTTGAAGTAAGGGCTATGAAATAAAAACTGGGGAAGGGATTTATGATCATTCGGTGGGTATGTTCCGTCTCGAAAACCACTCCAGGATTTTAAGGTTGAGGTAATCATCTGAATGCTTGTTTACCTTCTAGAGAAAAGGTTAGATGTACATTTAAACACCACACCTTCACCCATGCACGATAATAACTTCTAAAACGAATAACCTTATGATTTTATTTGTTATCGAACTATTATTCCATATAATTTTTACAAATCCTTCACCTCCAACGAGATTGATAGGATGTTTGGGAGTTTAATGACTCCTACGTCTTCACACTTAAAGGCACAGTTCACGATAAAAATGGTTTCTGAGATTCCCTCACAGGATGTGTTTGAGGCCACCACGTATACCATATCTGGCACAAATAGGGCGGAAAACGGGATAGTTAGGAAGTTATAAAGGGTCAAAGATCGTCCCGCATGTATCCTCGGACGAGTTTCACCGGCACGTAGGGCTGCACCGATCACAAGGGAATCAGCGTAGGTGGTTCAAACAACTTGTTAGCGACGGTGAAAGACAGTTCTCTGCAGTTCTGGCTTGACGTATTCAGCTCTTTGTACAATTGCAGTGATTGAAATCTCGTCCGAATACCCCTTCCATGTTACTCCCGTCAGGAAATCTCGTCCAACCTCTATTTTCCCTACTTTTGAGGAGCCAAATTTTTCTCAAAATTGGCACATTCTCTCGCTTTCTTCACTGCCGATGAAATATTCCCAAGCTGTACTTCCGCTACCGAATATAAACGGGTACTTCAAAATTATCGTGAAGTGTGCCTTTAATCAGGTCCGTCTCGTCCTGGGTGCGAACCACTCTAATTAAGACGATAGCTGATCGTAGTTCGAGAGGCTGGACGATTTAGACGAGTTGGTCAACGTAGAAATTGCGTTCTATGGGTGGCAATTGAAGCCCATGCGCCCCAATGGCAAAGTGGATGCTAAGGGCCGCGCCCAACGACCGCCTGCCCAAGCGTTGTGTAAGTGCACAATGGCGTCACGTATAGGATTAGCGCGTACCATCTTGGACGGCCTAGTCGGGTTTTGATGGAATTCATTTACAGTGTATCGAGTTTGCACATTGAATACAATACACTGTAAATGAATTTCATCAAAACCCGACTAGGCCGTCCAAGCTGAATGCAATACCACTTGGTCAAAGTTCTGTAACAATAGTTTTGTCACCCTGTAGTATCTTCCCTTATCACATGGCGTCCACTGCAGCCTCTTCTTGAAAATGAAATAGTTCACTTACTTTATCGCTATGCGGCTCGGTGTAGGTTAGTTTAATTTTATATTGTATTTTTTACGTGTTCTCTTGTTCCCTATTCTTCTACGTCGACGGCGAGAACCTTATTGGTGTGCGCGTTGTTGGGTCGAATCTCGTAGTTTACGGTCAATCATCCTACTATATACAGTGCGTCTCCAAATTATACAGCCACCCCTAATTTCTCCGAAAACTGACGGTAAGATGTTTCTGAAAAAGCGCCAAAGTAAAAATGTGTCAAATTTCAATTGCAATTCGCACATTATCACCTAAATCCAGCTCCGAAACAAACATTTTTTTTGGTCAATTTTTCAGTAAAGGGTGCTTTTCCAACGTCTCCAAATAGTACAGCCACCTCATGTCTTCGTGTCCTGTTTTAGTTCAACGCATTGAAATTGCTTGATTACGTAATGTTCTTCTTTTTCAGGCAACTGAAAGACAAACTTGCTTTCGGAATTGAATTAAATCCTCGCGAAAAAGGAGCAGGGACTGTCAAATCGCAGAATCGCACGAGATTTGGGTCGTTGTCACGCAGTTTTGGATAATTTCATCAAGAGTCCTGAAAGCAATGATGAAACCAGAAGACGTGCTGGAGGTCCTCCGCTGTTGTCCGACGGAGACAAGCGCCGTGTGTTAAGGGGAGCATCGAACTCCACCAAGTCCCGTGTGGAAACACGATCGTCTCTGGACCTCAGTGTCCCAACAATTACTGCTTGGAAGGTGATTGGAAAGTCCAAGTTTATCTTCAGGCGGAAAATGCGTAAGGCGTCCTTTATGACAGAAAGACATCGAGAAAATCGTGTCGCTTTCGCCAGAAGGTGAAGCCGAACCGAGTGGAATAAGGTGTTTTTCATGCGCTGACATTTGACCTTCCGTCTCTTGATGGTTTTTGTTCTTCAGGTCGTTTTTTTTTTTATGAAAAGAAGTTCAATTGTGGCGGTTCAGGCGGGAACCGATTTCACTGGCACGACCTGAGGGAGGAAAAACTTCAGTTTTCTAGACGGAGCTTTAAGGGAGGCGAGTCATTTTGGACCGCAATTTCATCGAGTAGGCTTAGCCGTTTACGTTTTGTATCAAAGAAGATAAACTCGTCCCTTTGTAGAACTGTTATGCGCCGTGCACTTCTCCCTTGGCGTCTGGCACCGAAATCTTGTTTTTATGCAGAAGCACTCAAGCTTGATTTTCTCGGCATCGGATTGCACTTCTGCCCTGTCCGGCGAACAGCCCCGATTTGAATCCAATGGAA